AAAGAAACTAGGATGGATCTCCGGCTGATAAGAAACTTCAACCCCAGCAAATGGCAAAACAACTGCAACTAGTTTGTAGGAGGCTCCCACTATACATATGTAGTTTGTAGGAAGGATAGGATGGCATCAAGACTGCTCGTATGGAGACTTTTTCTCAATTTTAGGAACCTCCAGGAATGTCTTAGTCCTAGTACTTACTGTTAGGAGAATAGCCCTTCGATCCTTATTATTGTGATTTTTTTGTTTTATAGTTCGGCTAGCTTGTTGAACCAGTAGAAAAAGATTCTTTTCTTTGAACGTACTGATATATAAAGTAGTTAGTATAATGCAAAATCGAGTACTTCTAGTAGAAGAATAATAATATACTGTACTTTTTTCAAGGAAAAATATTGTATAGTAATGATGCCTAATCCGTTAGGTTGAGTTAGTAAAGGAGCATCAGTTAGTACTGATAAAATCGTTCTAGCCTCAATAGGGGAATTACTTTTCAAGGAAACTGACTATTATTCTTACTTCTAGAACCTGGGTATGCTTATTCACTAGTTGCTGGAAGGGTAGAACGTAGGGCAGTGTTGGCCCATCTTTCACTTCCGGACTCTAGCTTTCTAAAACCTTCCTCACCTATAGCACTTGTCTTAGCTTTAAGCCAATCCTGGTGGACTTCCTTATCCTTATTCTAGAACCTTCACCTGGGAGTAAGGATCTTCCGTACTTCGTCCTTAGTTAGCCTTTGTCTCATTTCCCCTTCCTCACTTTAGCTCTAGAGAATGACTCATACCCCTCTTGCTACTGAACTATACCTAAAAATAAAAATAAAAAACTTTAGCTCAGCTCGGGGTTAGGCTTATGTGTCCTACCTTGGCATAATCAAGATTGACAACATCTTCGGACCTTGGCCTTGAAGTCGAGTTACTCTCGTGCCCAAACTCCAAAGACTCAAAAAAAGACTAAACCCCGCTACTTGTCTTAGCATCTGCTTCGTTCGGTCTTGCAGCTACTTTTTCAGAGGGATCCCGAAAGTAATATACTTATATGCCCTCCCATATTGGTATCCCATGTCTGATTCTCCTTCTCCAGATTCTGTTTCTGTGGAATCTCTGTTTGAACACCATTCCAGTTCCAGATACCTGGTTTTAGTTCACAGCCCCACCTTTCAGTTAAAGTTAAGTTAGCTTCCCCTCCCATGGAAAATAATTTATTTATTCTCCAGTCAACAAAGCTTTTTCTTATTCCTTCCCCGATAAAACCTTCTCTGAGCCAACAACCCGATCCATCTTAGTTCGATTAGGAAGTCCATGCACAACGAGTGTGAAGTCATGCGAACTCTGAACAGAAGGAGCAGCAGCATTTGTTCCGTTGGGGAAGGCTTCAAAGATCAAAGGCAAAAAAAAAGTCAGAAGTCTAAAAATAGACAAGAGCGCATTCGATCGTATATTCATAGTTGGCATCCGTCTCTTAAAAAGAATAAGCTCGAGAAGGGGGATTTGTGGGACTTATATCTATAGAAGCTCTTACAGTTAGAAAGGGAATGGAATCCATATCCGCTAAGAGAGTAGACCGTGCTAGTGAATCTAGCTAGGTCCCTAAGTCTCGCCTTATTAGTCTAGGTAACTTTATTCGCTCATTGTAATGGTAAGGCTAATATAATAATCAGACTTTATGTTTCCTGGCTTCGCTCGAGATCTCCGAACCTTTGCTCTGCTCTTGCTTGCAACTATAAGGTATTCCAAAGCCGTAAGAATTACTTGTAATTCAAAAGCTTACGTAATTGCTAAGTTGCTAAGTCTTCCATCCTCTCCTTTACAGTCGAGAACTACGTACCTCTAAGATGGAAATAAATAAAACTCAAAGTCTGACCTAGGGGACTGCTACCTACTAAGCCGAGCCTGCAGTTGAACAAACTTCTACGATACTTCTGCAATTGAAATTAATTACAAATGTTGTGGAACCTGTCAAGGCTGGTCAAGATCAATAGGCCAATATTCCTTCTGTTTGTGTAAATTTACTCAATCTATGGAGTTATTTTTCCCTCCGGCCAGCGGGGCTGTTAGAGTTCGTTCCTGATCTCAACTAGCACTAGCCTTCGTGTTAATAAGTGTAACTGAACTAGAGCTAAAGGCACGTAGTTACTCGAGCTAAGCTATAGGGTCTATGTTAATAGAGCTCGACTATAAGTAAAGGAGAGGAAGATACTTTATCTCTAACTCAATCACCAACACGTAAATAGAAGATATTCCACTTCTATGCTCTATTTCTTGTTTACTCCATTCCACTCGCTTGTGAGCTCGTTTGGGAAGCTAGATCATTCAACATGCTTTCTTAGCTGGAAATAGAATGATACTGATTATCTTATTATTACAGCTTAAGTGCATTTTCTATATAAGATAGAATCTCATGCATGCTTGGAAGTTAGGTTACTCAAAAGGATTTTTTTAGGTGCTAGAAGCTACTTGAGGACTTGCTAACCTTACTCTTCCTTATCCAGTGAAAGATTAATTTTTTGAGTTAGATCGAGTGGAATCTTTCCGAGAAGAGGTGCCAATCCAGGCTAACTAGTATGAGTTCATACCCGCCTTTCCCTGCTTTGAGCTTGAACGTGGCACTAAAGCTGAGCTCATGAAAGAGACTTCAGGTTATAAAAATATTTCCTTTAAGGCTAGCTCATTTCCCGATTAGAGGACTTATTACTACTTAATTCTTGCAAGCCCACACCTTAGAAGAGAAGAGACAGTCTGACTATCTCTTGTGCCAGAATTCAGGCTCAAGGCCACTTAACGAGACGAAAAAAAGAGATTCATCTCACTCCCTCGCCTTAGATGCAAGCTATATTAAGCCCCCACTTTTCTTTCTATATTTTTTATAATACTAGCCAAAAGGGGACATTTTGAGGTGGTTAAGAGACTTCCGCAGGTGGAATGAATGCAGCTCTTGTTCTTTCAAGGGGCTCTCATTAAGCAGCCTTGGGCCTACCTTTGGGATAGATTCCCTCAACAGATACCTTCAATGCGATAAAGCCAGCAATTTAGGTTCTGAGCTAAGCATTCATGAAGCCCGCTCTTTGCTTGGGCCTATCCTGTCTTTCATTCGTGTAAACTCTCTGCCCTCTTCCACTAAGACAAAGTCTTTCTAATGCATGCTGAGCAGTTTCTCCACCTCGAAAGCTCAGTCTATTTTTATTTCTGGAGAGATTCAAATATGAACATTTCCTCCTTTCCCTGTAGTACGCTAGCATGTAGAGAACTTCAGTAGGACCGTGGCATCAATGCACCTTTTCGTCAATACTTTTTTACGTAAACTAGATGTTAAGGCAATGTCAATTGTATGATCATATACCGTAGTTGGCTTATGTTAGCACGAAAGATAGATATGAAATGCCTCTTTTAGAGTTAGAGTATCTTGAAGTGCGGGGCTCAATAGTTTCCTTCCGTGAGATGAGCTGGGCAAGGATAGGTTAATTCTTGTATATGGAAGAAGCGGAAGAGCTACTTGAAAGAAAGGTTGGAAGAGCTAGTCCCTTAGGATGCCGTAGGTCCTATAAGGTGGATTCTTCTGCTCTCTTGTCTTTCCTCGCCCTATCGGTCGAGATATGCCACCTCAATGTCAACTCTCTTCTCTTTCTGGTATCTAGCAAAATGGCAGCTGGTTTAATCAGTTCTTTTTATTGCAAAACTTTACTTTAGTCTTTCCTTTTGAATCCCTTCTATCCTTCGCTCCTTACTATACTCTGGCTACAGAGCAGGGCCCTCTAAATGCCATCATGAAGTGTAAGACATCTCATTGGAAGAAAGTGGAATGCCTCTAATGAGCTCTTTCTGGCATCTAGTCTCAGGTATTTTATCCTCCCATCCTTCCGACAACGCATTCAATAGCATAGCCAACGGACCACTCAGTTTCTTACTTTAATTAGGAATCTCAACTCGATCTTAGCGGATCTAACTTGAACTCCTTCTGTCTTAGCCTACCATCTTTATCTTCTATCCCCTGGAGCTCTCGTTTTGAGAGGTTAAGTAGCTGACCTCTTTCTATTAATCCCCTTAGTCTCTAATCTAAGAGAAAAGTAGCTCCTGGCTTCTTGTCTTGTTGATCGATTGACTTATTTTCTCAAGTTTTGTTTCTCTTTCAGTTGGTGATTGGGGATTGGCATAGTTCCCGTCTCCCCCATTTCTGGCCAAAGAAAAAGAAGGGGAATTCCTTCAAGGTAGCAGGAATGGATGGATAAAAAAACATGATTGTTCGCCGAACACAAGACCTGGTTATACGAGATAAAAACGAGTATCAATAAGGAAAGGGCTTTCCCTATTAAGGAGGCGGATCGATTTTGGATGCTTTAGATATAGCAACCAGGGGATTAGGATAAGTTAGGGAATCAGTAATTGTTCTTGCTTGTTGGTTTGTTTCCTTTCCTCCATGCAAGTTTCCTCATTCTCCCTGGAAAAGTACTTAAACAACAAGTAGAACAACTAATGCGCTCCTTTATCAGGGGTGGGATGGTACCTCTATCTATCTACGCAATATAGGAGTTCCATTCCAAAACGTACAACATGGCCTTCCACGCCACCCAAACACCTATCGTCAGTCAACCTTCCCATCAGCCATTGCTCCACCAGCAGTAAGTTTTGCTCCTTTGAATTTCGGGGCTACGGTTCAATAAGTTTTTAAATTAAAAAAAATAGTGTTCCTCGGGCGGCACAAAACTTGAGATGTAGAATCACATCTTACGACATATGTACTGAGGAGATCATCACTCGGGAGACATGGTAACAAGCCCGGTAACCAGTTTCCTCTAATGTGGTCAACCAACCCAGATAAAATGTTGGCATACCAATCAGGGTTCCATCCTTCCAATGAAGAAGGACTTGCTATAGCAGATTGGAACGGCTTTACTCTCTCTATATACGATACGATATTTTAGTCGCTTCTTTCTTTTTTTATTGAATTGCAAAGCCGAAAGCAAACATACGTGTAGTGTGGTGGTTGGGCCTACCCACCCTATTTGTTCAATAATCTTTGGGTCTACTGGAGCTACCCACTTCGATCAATTAGCCAAGATTTTGACCAGATACGAAATAACTGGTGCTCGATCTAGTGGTCTTTTTATGGGGATTCTATCTATAGTTGTAGGATCCCTATTCAAGATCACTGCAGTTCCTTTTCGGGCGGTTATAGAACGAACGACCGCTTATAGGTGGTAGGGTAGGGTGGGTGGTACCGCTCAGATTACGGCCAATCTTCCTAACCGCACGCGGGCCAGGCTTAGAGCGCGTGAAACTCATCACTATCTCGTAAAGGCATTGAGACCATAGCATGTTAAACGAAAGTACCGCTTTCTCTATAGTGTTGTCACACAACTGCCCGTCTAGAAGAGCCACTCGCTCTATAGTGTTGTCACACAAGATAAGCACGCCTCCCGCCAGCTGGACGGGAGAATCTAAGTTATCTTCCGGTCAACTGTCCACCCAGTCAAGTGCAAAAAACACAGTTGAATCACGCAACGCATGCTGCTGGTGTGCTTCCTGCCCGCGAGGAAAGAAGAGCGACAAGGTTTAGTTCAGATTTGACTGTTTGCAGCATGGGAGCGGATTACCCCAAAAATCCTTGGGAACAATTTAAAAAAATATATCTCGGTAACAAAAACAATAGGGGGTTGTATTGGCGAGATCCAATGGTGAACAGCTGTCCAAAACAAAAACCGCCTGGAAGTCCGAGGACCTTTAGTACCGTACCCTACCCCCGAACCAGCAGCCTTTGCGCCAAGCAAGACCGCCCTTGTCCTTTCTCCATTCTGCCTCCTTCTTTGCTTTGTTCCAATATAGTCTAAGGCGAAGCAAAAGTGGGTGGGTTCGTATGCCTACTTTACCTACTTGACGAAAGGGAACAAACTTAGTTTCGTTTCCGGATTTATGGATTAGATTCAGTCAGCGTCACGACATAATAAAACAAAAGGAAGGAGTGATGCTTTGGTTACCGGCAAACGCTTCCAAAGGTGATCCTATCGAGTTTCCTAGACTGAAGTAGCCTTTCTTTTGTCGCCCTACCAAACAAAAGAAGTAACTATCAAAAAGCTCGCCCTACTAAAGTACCAAAGGTGCGCTCCGCCCGGTGACTCAGAAAGAAATGGGTTTGCGCTTTGAAGTGATGAGGTCGCAAAGAGGGAAGTAGGGCTCATATTGACTAAAGGTTGGTTCTTCGGTTTCCTTTAGAATGAAAGTAACTATGAAGCCCCTACTACTTATACTAACTTTGTTTGATTAAAAGGTGAACCCCAACTAGTCGTATGGGGTGGGGTGCTTGTGGTAAGCTGCCTTGGATATGAGTCTGAGGAATTCCCAAAGGCAAAGTCCGGTATTTGACGAAGATATTTCTATCAATAGATAGGATTTAGTGTTCGATATAGGGGATATGATCCATCTTCTCTCTCTCTTACTTAGTTAGGTTTCTTTTTTTTCCAGTGCAACACATGAAAGCGCCCTCTTTTTGTCATCCCTGCAGCTTTCCAGATTATGTATTGAACGTATGGTGTAGCTAGGATCTGAAAATAATGTTTGAGCCTAGCCTATCCTATGTTCAAACCAACCAAACCCACCCCTCCATTTGAATAAGGCTGGAAAGAATGCCCGCCAAGTTCAGATAAGGGAATGCTTCCCCCAACCATTAAAGTCAAGGCTCGACGAAGGGAGGGAGATGCAGCGGGGGAAGGAAAACGCTTTCGGAGATCAATATTTTTATTTATTTTTCATCGAAAATGAAGAAGGTCGAGGATGGCCTACGGTGCGTGTTACCTGAAGGGAACACGCTTTTTCGACCGCGATGGTATGATTTGATGGTCGGGCCCTCTCCTCGTTCCTCCTGCAGGCCTATTGGGATAGCAGCCTTCGTTGCCTGCCCTTTATATCTCGGCCCGGGAAAGCGTTGGCAACAATAGAAAGGAAGGGGTCCATGTAGTGCGTCCGCCCCCTTCTTAGTCAATGGGGCAGCAGGTTCGACATCTACTAAAAAAGAGAGAATCCACTTGAGATAACAACGCCTCTGCTAGGCAGCGTGTGGAATGGCCAAGAGCAGACCTTTTTGGATATATAATCCAAGTGGAGAGTGGAGTTATTGGAACAACCGTCTGATGGAAAACTACTTTCACGTTCGGTTCAGAGAGCACTTTTTCTTTCGTCGAGAATTCTTCGTTCCCTTTCGTGTTAATTCCCCAGCGACGAATTCAACACTTTTTTGGCCCTATCTATTCCATCTCTCAAGCCCCGAATAAAACCCCCTCCCCTTCGGACTCCATATCTCTTTTGACTCTATATAAGTGGGCACCTGATATCTATGAGGGTTCACCCACCCCGGTTACAGCATTCCTTTCTATTGCGCCTAAAATTTCTATTTTTGCTAATATTTCACGTGTTTCTATTTATGGTTCATATGGAGCTACATTGCAACAAATCTTCTATTTCTGCAGCATTGCTTCTATGCTTTTAGGAGCACTGGCCGCCATGGCCCAAACGAAAGTAAAAAGACCTCTAGCTCATAGTTCAATTGGACATGTAGGTTATATTCGTACTGGGTTCTCCTGTGGAACCATAGAAGGAATTCAATCACTACTAATTGGTATCTTTATTTATGCATTAATGACGATAGATGCATTCGCCATAGTTTTAGCATTACGACAAACCCGTGTCAAATATATTGCAGATTTGGGCACTCTAGCCAAAATGAATCCTATTTCGGCTATAACCTTCTCCATTACTATGTTCTCATACGTAGGAATACCCCCGTTATTCGGCTTTTGTAGAAAATTCTATTTGTTCTTCTCCACTTTAGGTTGTGGGGCTTACTTCCTAGCCCCAGTGGGAGTAGTGACTAGCGTTATAGGTTGTTGGGCGGCCGGAAGGTTGCCACGAGTCAGTCAGTTTGGGGGACCGAAGGCAGTTCTCCGTGCACCGGACACGTAGCTTACCGAATCATTTGCGACACTGATGGGAATGCATGCTACGAAAGATAGGGTCAAGTCTGAAACATCAACCGTCTACTCAATATCCTTGTACGAGTCCACAATCACTACATGAGATGAACCTTGGTTTGGTGAATTAAAGTTTACCTTAGGTGTAAAGAAAAGGACTCCCAGTTACTGCGCATGATCGTATACTGAGGTGCTCCCCACCGGTTGTTCAAACGACGTGAGTCGGGCCTTCATTCAGAAAGATGAAGGGTCCAAACAAAAGTAAAAATAGGGGGTTACAAATTCCCCATCTCATTGGGGGCGGAAAACGAATCGACATCTCGATGTGATACAACCTTTTCTATTTTTGTTGGGAAAGAACGGAGAAGTCCATCCGAACTGTCCAATGAATAATAAGAGGAGAGCAAAGCGCCAATGGCGCGCGAAGCGCATGCGAAAGGGGCACGGAGATAAAATATAAGTGTGGAGGATAAGCAGCCGAGCTCATTCCCTTCGCTTCTATGGCCCAAAGCAGTGCAGTCTTTCCTGGTCAAATAAAGGATTGGGGGCTTCTTGCTACGCTACTTAAATAAATCCTTTTTTTTAGTCATATAATATATATATATATATATATATATATATATATATATATATATATATATATATATATATATATATATATATATATATATATATATTAATAGAAAGATAGATCCATCCATCTATCCTATCCGATTTTTCTTTTGATATCTAAAAAAGAATCGATTTCGTTCAATGTTTGATTCAAATAACTGCGCTTAGCCCCCCCCCCCCCCCCCCAGTAGCCGGGAAGGGGCATAGAAGTTCCAACTACTACACCACACTACACTCGACTCTACACATTTACAGAGCTAACCCCTGTCCAGTCCTTGGCAGAGTGAATGGGGCTTCCATCCTTATTCCCTATCCCCTCACCCAGGCTAACAGGGCGTTACTTAATATGAGGGGGGGGGGGGGAGAGTGGAGCCCCGAGAAGCACTGTTTAGAGGAAGATCCTTGGCCCCTCCTCATTCTCTATAGGGTTCCAAACCTTTCTTCAACATAGGTGACAACGTGCGGGGCAGAGATGGAAGAGATCGAACACGAGAATAAGAAGCAAGCTCGCCTTCCTTTTTTATCATTTTGATAGAGAGGGATGGAGAAAGTGGACAAAACAGACTCGCATCTCCCAGTCGAAAAAGATGGGTTCCTTTTTCGTCTTGCATTTATCATTCCGGAAAAATAATAATATTGAAAACGTTCCCAACCCACCAACCCTTTCCTTCGTAGAGCCGTGTATTATAATCCGAACCTTCCCGGAGCGAGTCTCCCATAGAGGCAAGTGAAGTTGGTGAGCCGTATGATGGGAAACTATCTCCTGTGGTTCGGAGAGGACTCAGCTGTTAGTTAGTACCCCCTTTCGGGGTGGACCTTTCACTCTATTTTATTATATACGCTTAGCGAAAATAATGTTTTTTGATACACCTAGGACATGGATTTTATATGAACCAATGGATCGTGACAAGTCGTTACTACTAGCAATGACTTCGTCTTTCATTACTTCATCCTTTCCATATCCCTCTCCCTTGTTCTCAGTTACTCATCAAATGGCACTCAGTTCATATCTATAAGTTTGATCATTGACAAGGTTCAAAGAAAGGGTGGGCCATAGTGTCTATATGGGAACCGACCGTAAACTCCTTTTCTAGTGTAGATCCCCTCTGTGATACGGTGGGAGAACTAACTATGGTTTTGCGTTTGTTTTCGCAAATGTTTCGGTTGAGCAAGAGTCGCCACCGACTTTTTATTTTATCCTAAGGAAAGGTTTAAAAAGCACAGCAAAAACCTTTGAGATTTTTCTTGGGTTCGGGGAGTAGATTATAGAAAGGGAAGGTATTAGCACCCTTTCTATCCATGGTTATCCATGGGCTCTTAGGTACTTGCTTAGATCAACTTGCCTTGGTTTTCAATTGTTTGAAATGGTGCTCGGTGTGTGGTTTTGAAAATGTTTTGAAAAAATGCCTTGTATAGGCTACCCTTGTAACAATTTTTTACTCGAATGTTTTACAAAAGGTGTTTTGTCTTTTGAAAAGATGTTTCAAGGTTTTTGAAAGTTTGTTTTGAAAGTGTTTGTGAAGTGTGGTTTGAAAATAGGCAAGTGTTTTCTTTTACAAATTGACAAGTACCTAAGAGTTATCTACCCTAAAGTTCTCAAAGATTTTTGTTATGTTTTAAACCTTTTGACAATTTTGTTCCACCATTGCATTTGGTGGACAATCTTGTATTAGGAGGTGAAAGGGACGGGCGCGGGTCATCGTTTAGACCATATTTGCAATAGTGTTAAATGTCTTTGGGCATTTTTTCTTTGAAAGGGATTTGATCATTTTAGGCAACTTTTTGAAAGCGTCATCGAGGGACTTATGATCATTTGATTGTTTGTTTTACCCAAAGAAACCTAACATACAATATGGCCCAATTATTTGAAGGCAACAAAGTGGAATACCCTAGGGGTGCAAGTGTGAGATGTGTTGTCCATTTTCATGCTTGTTTATCTTGAGATTAGGTCAAATTATTTTGTTCGTTTTATTCGCATACAAACCCTAACTCTAGCATGGTATGTTTAGAAAGCATTAAAGTGCGAAATTTAAATTCCTACACTATTACAACATAATCATATGGGGAGGGGGGTACAAATGTTTCAAATGGGGGTTATTTAGACAAGAAATTAAACCTAGCTATTACATCATTTTCTTTGAATATTTACAATATAATTAAAGGCATAAATTAAATGGAAATGAAATAAAATATGCAAGAATGCAAAAAAAGGTTTTTTATGTGCATGAAAAAGTATTATTTATGTAAAAATAAAAATAAAATAAAAAGGTATTATTTTTGGAGTATTCTCATACTTAGGGCAAAACCCTAATTTTAATCAAAAGGGGATTAATTATTTAATATATATAATAATTACTATTTATGTACAAAGAATGAAATAAAAATGAAGTATATTTGTGAAAATGTATTTTTTAATGTTAAATATTAATAAAAATAAAAATATGTATATTTTTGATATTTTATTCTAGGTGTACTAATATATGTATATTTATTTATATTATTTACAAAATATATTAAATATGCACAAAATAATAATATCTAATTTTTTATAAAAAAGTATTTTTTATACAAAAATGTTTCAAAAGGGAAAAATGAAATAAAAATCAGAAATATAATATGTTTACATTATTTTTTTCTAATATTGCTAAATAATAGTATATATATATTTGTATATAAATGTCCATATAATCAAATAAATACTTAAAAAATGCAAAAATGGTGTAAAAATGATTTTTCAAGTTTTAAATATTATTAGAAAAATAAATGAGTCAAAATGAAAAAAGAAAAAATCAAAAAATCATTAAATCAAACAAATGGGCTCAGGGGGGTATGAATCACAAAATATGGTGTAAAAAGTAGAACAAAAGATGGCCCAGCCCATGAGGCACCTTCTTCAACCTCTGAACAACATTATTCAAAAAAACGCGCGCCTTGTTCTACCATCCAAACATCCTGATTCCTGGCTTATTAATGAAAACTCATAACATAAAAAATGTTCAGCATCAAGAGACGAATCCAACCATATGCAGAACTTGATCTAACTCTCTAAGATGAGAGAGAATTTCTTCTCCCCTAAATCCTGACCTAGATTTTCTTCCATGTTCAGACTCAAAATTCTTGCAACACACATAATATAAATAAAATCTAATTATATGGGCATGTTCAGGGTAATGATTCTCTTCACAAACCTAAAGCTAACAATGCCTAATAAGAGAGATACGAGTTCATGAACTTACCTGTTCAGTTGAACTTCTATCTGGCAATGGAGAAGCTTTCAGTGCAAGGTGATGATTGGGATAGTTTCCTTGAGGTCCAGGGATGTTGTTCCAAGCTTTACTTTGTCTTGAAAGCTTTTGAATCGTGCTAGAGCACTTCACCTGCAAATCAGAAAAGTGAAAATGGTGGAACCAGTTAGGGGGATTACAGGTCGTGTTTTAGGTTTTGGTTAGCTTGCATAGATGGTATGGAAGGTGTGTGAACTGGTTTGGGCAAGAAAGCTTGAGAGGAATGAAAGATAGCACTCAAACTACAGGCCTTGCCCTGTTCTTGCAGTTTGAAGGTGATTCTGGGATTAGGAGTGTATGAAGGGTGTTAGGGTCGTGTACTAGCTTAGTTGGAATGTCCTGTATGTGTTTCACAAGTTTGCTTAAGTGTTTGTAAGCTGATATGAGAGTTGTTTTACAAAATGCCAAGTTACTTACACTTTAAGCAACAAATGCCCAAGTTGTGTTCTAGGTCAGTAGAGGCCCCCTAATGTGCTGCATAATCTCTCCTTGATCAGAGTGTTTTGCTCATAATCTTGTGCCAATTAGATTTCATTTGTACTTGTGGATTTGCATCATGACATAAAGTGAAACTTTTGCAAAAATGGATATAATGCTTTATCTATAAATGGATTAATCTTCTAGGAAATGCTTGAACACACAAAACATGGTCTTGGCACAAAGGTTTGGCATTAAATTTATGAGTGTAATTGAGATAAAAGGCCTGTAATCAAGTGGCATGCTGAGTTTTGAAAATGCATAGTGTTATGAACATGTAACTTGGCCTAATCAAAAGTGAGTTTTTGCTATATTGTGAAATTCGATTCTCTCTAACCATGAGGTTGTTTGAGAAGTTCTTGGACATTTTGGAAATCTTGGAATGTGTAATACAATCCATCTTTGAAATGCAAATTGAAATTCCAGGTGGAAGTGTATGGAAAATGGCCTTGAAGTTGGGTAGAAAACCTTGTCAAAATAGGTTAAAATTTCACTAAGTTAAGAATGGTTTAGTACCCTTATTCAAAATTTTGTAACTTGAGATACAAGCCTCATTTGGGAAAACTTTGTGAATCAAAGTTGTAGATTATGCAACAAGCTACAACTTTCATGTTTTGACTTTTGTTTGAATCCCAATGAATCTTGGTGAGAAAGTGGGGCAAAGTTGGGAAAAAATTAGGGTTTTTCATAACTTAGAAAAATTCTAAGTTATGAAAAAAATCTCATTTCTAACCCTAATTTGCATTTTTTGATTTCTTGGTGAACAAGTTTCATGATTTGGCATGTTTTGATGAAATTGATCAATTGACTGGGAAATTCAACTGTCAATTTTGTGCATTTGGGATCTTTTGAACTTGTTGAGCATGTCAAGATAAATCCATGGGGTCCTTGAGTCCATAAGTGAACTTGGTTTGCCATTGGCTAGGTCAAACAGTCAAAAATTGCCTTTGTGCAGTCAAAACCCTAAAAATGACCATTTTGCCCTTTTGGTGATCTGATCAAATTTCTTGTGGAATTGTGATCCAAACTTGATCAAATGGTTCATAGGAGTTCATAATGTTGATGTGGGTCAATTTTCATGAGGTTTGACTGTCAATTGGCCACAGTTGACTTTTTCCCCAATACAGCTGATTTCTAGGTCAACTGTCCAATTGACTGGGCAAAACTTGGAATCAAGACTTGAAACTTGACATGGATAAACTTGGGAGTCCAAAATGAAGCAAGAAGGTCATCTTAGGCATTTTAGGTCAAAACATCTTTGTGCAAGCACAAACCCTAATTTGGGTCAACAGTACAAGGAGAAGTCTTGAGCAGATGAAACCCTAACTAGATCTTGAGCTCCAAGGGCTTTGTGATGAGAAATCAATGAGAAATGGGAGGGCAAATTTTAGGGTACAACAGTTGCCCCTGTTCAATCTTCTTGAATCTGAAGAGTTAGATTGGCAAGTTTGCCTTTCGTGACTTGAGGGTAAAGGAGATTGGACACTAGAGTGCCCGGAAATTTGCACTCGTCAAAACAATGGATGCGGGAATGGGCTTAGAGATGCCATTTGGAGATAGGCTTAACGATGCCATCTGGAGGGATGACAGAAGCTTGTCAGGGATGGGCTTAACGATGCCATCTGGAATGAGTATCAGGGAGATGTCCATGCCTGGGGTCACCTCTGAACTGGGGGTCTGAATAAGCAATAGATTGACGTCCGTTGTTGGGAGGAATCCGTGAGCTGTTTTCAAAGGTTGCATCTGAACAAATGATAGATTAACATCCGTTGTTGGGAAGAATCCATAAACTGTTTTCAGAAGTCTGGAGAAGAGCCTGAATAAGCGATAGGTTAACATCCGTTACTTGGAGAACCCGTGAACTGTTTTCAGAAATCTTGAAGTTGAATAAGCAATAGAGCAGCATCCGTTGTTGGGAAGCGTCTGTAAACTGTTTTCAAAAAATTGCATCTGAACAAGTTGATAGATTAACATCCGTTGTTGGGAAGAATCCAAAAACTGTTTTCAGAAGTCTTGAGAAGAAACTGAACAAGCGATAGGTTAATATCCGTTACTTGGAGAATCCGTAAACTGTTTTCAGAAATCTTGGAGTTGAATAAGCAATAGAGCAGCATCCGTTGTTGGGAAGCGTCCGTAAACTGTTTTCAGAAATCTGCATTGGAACAAGTTGATAGATTAACATCCGTTGTTGGGAAGAATCCAAAAACTGTTTTCAGAAGTCTTCAGAAGAAACTGAACAAG